GAAAAGGCGGGGGGGGGTGCATACTAACGTATGAAACAGGAAAAAACTCGAAACGTCAACAACCTCTCAGGTCAGAAGGCAAATAAGACTCCCCCCCCCCCTCGTTGGGAAATCCCCAACGATGATGTGCCCTGCCTCGAACTGCCCACTAGAATTGCTTTTTTTCCAGGGAGTAAGGGCAGAGAACATCACATAGAATTCCGTTTAATATATTTGAAAACGAGATTTTTTTCCCGAAGGATCCTTTCCCTAGCTAATACCAAATTTTCGTCAAAGCTCCCCAATTTTGACGAAGCGCCGAATAGAAAAAAGCGCTATTGCTAGAATGGCCTGAATGATTTCCCAGAGAAAAGCGAGCTATGGCTGGGACACCAGTTGATGATACCCCCAATTATCTCAACGCCCAGGCCCTAAAGTATCTACGAATTCAGACTGCACCGCGGAAGGGATAATTCCCGCATAGTAATAGTGGAATAATTATAGGCGATTACGTGAACCACAGGAGACTTACAGATCTTCAAAAGGGCATATTTTTCATTCATATTTGACGGCAAAGCTTCTTATGGCGGGGTTTGACTTGGAGTGGGCATCCTGCCCTTTCGTTAGTTACTCTGGTTAGCTCTTGTTAACTAATAGGTCTTACTTTGGCGAAACCTGTAAACTCGTGAAGCTATAATGTGGTAAGCAACTTAGCCTACAGGGCTTCACAGATCTTCGTAAGGTAGAAGCTTAGTTCGGTATCATTCGGTGCCCCCACTAAGCCGAGCTACGCCCTTCTTATCTATTACACTTTTTGTACGTCTGGCTCCTAATTAGACTTGACGGAGCCAAAGAATCGAAGCAGCGCACCTACGCTAGCGTCAAATAAACAAGTGAATAAATAATGTTTAGCAAGGGGAAAGGTCATGGGCTGAATTAATAAGTTACAAAGTAATACTGGTAGTGGATCTTTTTTATAAAATAAATTTAGAAAACCGCGCTATAGAGAGGAGAACGCAAATTTGTGATGGATAGGGGCGTCAAGAGAAGATAGAAAATGAATTGTTTTGCTTCTCGACGGGCCGAAACCCTGAAAATTAACAACGGGTATGAAGGCTTATTACGTAATGTATCATTTGCAGGATCGTGCATGGAGTCGTAGGCGATCCCTTATCCTTTGGGATCGTCTTCTATGGCCAGGCCTCGATGAAAGAGAACAGTTAAAGGCACATTCCGCGTTGATCAAGTGGGCGGAGACTGCTAAGCACTGTGCCTCCCTCATTGGTGTGTTGTTTTGAAGCGTTAAGGAAGAGGACTGTGCTAGTAAAGCGGTTCTCCGTCGCCGCTCTTACAAACAGTGCAGAACGTTCCTTCAGCTGAAACGGGATACGCTTGGGTTTCGATCCAATGAATTAACAACTATGGTCCCAGAGAGAGTGAAATTTCCGGCACTATTTACCTCGTACTGCCACACTCTCGGAAATTCTGGCTAGATTTTCTGGTCGGGAGTAAATTCACCTCCAATATATGAATGTTATACCCGCGTCTGGTTCGGAACTGCCCGGCGCCCGTACCGCAGGAGCTGGGGACAAAACACCCCAGCGCACCAAATATGCTGAAAACCTGTCCCTGTAGGTGCAGTGACCTCTGCACACGAA